CCCCCCCCTCCTTTCGCCACGCCGCCCCCTGACTCCGGAACCCGACCCCTGCCACCCCTACCCTCAGTCTTCACCCTAACCCAAACCCCTAATCCTAACCCCAACCACTAACCCCAGCCCCAAAGAGTACTCACTACTCATTACTCACTACCCACTACTGACTACTCACTATTCGCTACTCACTTCTTTCTACCCCCTACTCACTACTCACGACCCACTACTCACTATCCACTACTCACTACCCAACCCACTACTCGCTACTCACTACTCCCTACTCACTACTCCCTCCTCCCTACTCACTACTCACTACTCACTCCTCACTACCCACTACTCAATACTCACTACTCACCAAGCACTACTCACTGTTTCCTACTCACTACTCACTAATCACCACTCATTACCCACTACCCACTATCCACTACTCACTAGTAACTACTCATTGCCCACAAATCACTCTAACTACCCACTATTCGCTACTCGCTACTCCCTACACAATACTGACTACACAGTACTCAGTACTCACGACTCGCTACTCCCATACTCGCTACTCAATACTCACTATTCACTCCCCGCTACTCACACTATTCACTACTTACTACTCCCTACTCACTAGTCACAACTGACTAGTCACTAGTCACTACCCACAACTAACTAGTCACTCGTCACTACTCACTAGTTACTACTCCCTACTCACTAGTCTCTAGTCACAACTCACTAATCACTACTCACTACCCACTACTCACCAATCGCTACTCACTACCCACTATTCGCTACCCACTTCTTAGTACTCACTGCTCACTACTCCCTACTCGCTACTCCCTACTCACTGTTCACTACTCGCTACTCCCTACTCGTTTTTCACCAATCACTACCCACTACTCACTACTGACTACTCACTACTCACTACGCCTTACTCGCTCCTCACTACCCACTACTCGCTACTCCCTAGTCGATACGCACTACGCATTACCCACTGCCACTACCCACTACTCTCTATTCACCATTGCTCACTACTCACTACTCACTGCGCACTACGTACTACTCAGTACTCAGTACTCACTACTCACAGGTCGCTACTCACTACTCAATACTCAGCACTCACTACTCATTACTCACTACTCACTACTCACTAATCACTACTCACTACTCGCCACCCACTACTCACTTTCCACTACCCACTACACACTACTCATTACTCCCTACTTAGTACTCACTACTCGCTACTCGCTACTCACTACTCACTACTCACTACTCGCCACTCACTACTCCCTACTCACTATTCACCACTTACTACTCCCCACTCCCTACTCCCTACTCCCTACTCGCCACTCACTACCCACTACTCGCTACCCAATACTCAGTACTCACTACGCACTAACTCACTACTCACTACTCACCACTCCCTACTCCCAACTCCGTACTCCCTACACGAGGGGAGGGGGGGTCCGAACCCCCCTTCCCGTGCTAGCGCCAAGGGGGGGAGGGGGGGGGGTCCGGACCCCCCCGCCCCTTGAGGGGCGGGAGGGGGGGTGTTCTGGACCCCCCCCCCTTTAGTGTACTCAGGGGGATCCACCGGCGCACTTTCCAAATGTCGTGGGCGCCGCCTCGCAGCGTTCTCGCTGACTCCAACGCCCCAGTCGACGGTAAAATGAGGCAGGGTCAGGGACGCCGGATCTCTTGGGCGCGGGCTTCAGGACTCTCGAACGAAATTGCCCCAGGATCGCCCCAAGGGAGCTCCAAAGCGGTCCCGGAGAGCTCCAAGCCCAAGATGGCCTCAAATCGGTCGAACAAGCTCCCAAGAACGCCCAAGAGAGCTCCAGGACGACCCCCCGAAGGGCCCCACAAGTCAAACATTATTGACTTGGTGTAGTTTTTGAACAAGTTTAGCGTTCGTCCTTGTTTTGGCGTCCAACAGCACCGCCCCCGCATTATATGCCCTTCGTGCCCCCCGCTCGCACGCGCCCGTCGTGGCCGCATACGCATGCCCTTCGTAGCCCCGCTGTCGCCCTTCGTGGCCCCCTCGCTGCCCTTCGTGGCCCCTTTTCTGCCCTCAGTGGCCTGCTGTCGCCTTTTATGGCCCCGTATACGGATGCCCTTCGTGGCCCCCGCTCGCTCGCGTGGCCCCATATGCATGCCCTTCGTGGCCACGCTGTCGCCCTTTGTGGCCCCCTCTCTGCCCTTCGTGGCCCCGGTGCTGCCCTCAGCGGCCCCGTCGCTGCCCTCTGTGACCTCGGATTTTATGCCCTTCGTGGCCCACGCTGGCTTTTCTGACGATACACTTGGGAATCGCGCTATCGCTCGAAACTTCTTCGCGATTCATGCAGGACCCACGCTTCAGCAACCCGCCTGCTCGACCTCGCCGCGTGGGTCCGCCTTCCCAACCTGCCCGCTATGGGTCTGCCCTCCCGATCTGCCCGTCTGGTTCTACAACTTGTTTTCTGCTCCTGGCCCCCCTCCTGTTAATTTCTCTCGTGCTCCATTCTTCTCCCTCCCCCTTCCACCCGTCCTCACTTCCCTTGTTTTAGGGGCTGCGCAAAAAACACGTGGCAGGTAAGGAAGATCTGCCCCCAAGGGGGTACGATCGAAGACGACGAGGGCGGGTACCGAGGATTTGGGATATACGTATTGGTTGGCACGTGAGCAGATAGGAGCGAACAGTCTAAAATGATTGTTGTTGTTGCTGTTGCTGTCATTGTTGTTGTTGTTAATGCTGCTGTTGTTGTTGATGTCGTCGTCCTCGTCATCGACCCCTTGCAGCCCCCCCGCGACCCACCCCGCGACCCGCCGCGACCCAACGGCGACCCACCTTGAAACTCACCAGCGACCCACCCCTTGCCCGCCCCCTCACTCTTATCCGCACTTGCGGGGAGCTGGGCAATCGCACGGTGTAGCGGCAAACGGGTGGAATCAATAGCGCGACTGCGCTACTGGGCGCGACGCGTTTTCCCTTCGTCGCTCCACAGGGCGTGTCGGCGGGGCGTTCTGGCCGTATCGTCGAGATTTCCTCCCCACGTACGCTCTGCGCCTATCCATGCATTGAACTTGAAAACCATGCAACTTGAAACTTCCAAGAAGACGACCGCCAATTTGCACGTGTTGGTAGCCATGCGAATTGCACCTACCCGTCAATTACTCAAATGGAATGCGGCTCCTGTTCTAACCGTGGCCTTTGCAAGATACTGCCTCTGCTTATGGCTGGGAACACAAGACCAACACATCCAATCAACTACGCAAAGCTAGAACGCCCCTCCTTCAACTTTTAGCTCTCGCTTCACATTCCATCAAACCAAATGGGAACGATGGCCACGGAAAGGGGGGGTGCATATGGATGCAGCGGGGAAACACATACACGGTAATGACACGATTTGTGGGCGGACGAGGGAAGGGCACGAGAGTCAAGAGCTTGTGCTGAACCTGCAACTCAACTGCCATATGCATGTTGTTTGACTCTCAAGGCGTCCCCCCCATCGAGGCCTACACCCCTGCATCTCCCTCCCTCCCTCCCTCCCTACTCCTTCCGCCTCGCTCCTCCTCCTCGATGTTTCCTTCCCGAATCCTTCTCCTGCTGCACTTCCTTGCTGTGTTCCTTGTCGTCGTCGACGCCGTGTCCTCATCCTCCTCCTCCTCCTCCACCTCCCGCTCGCTTCCCCTTCCTACTCCTCACTGTCATCCGTTCCTCCTCCCCTCCCCCTCCTCAATCTCCTGTTTCTCCTCATCGTCGTCGTAATACTCCTTCTCTTCCTCCGCGTCCTACTCGTCCTCCCCCGCCTCTTCCATCATCCTTCTCTTCCCTCCCCCTCCTCCTCCTCCTCCTCCTCCTCCTTTTCCTTTTCCTCCCTCCCTCCTCCTCCTCCGCCTCCTCCTCCTCCTCCTCCACCACCTCCACCACTTCCTCCTCGTCCTCGTGGTCGTCGTCGTCGTCCTCCTCCTCCTCCTCCTCCTCCTCGTCATCCTCTTCCCTCCTCCTCTTCCTCCTCCTTCGCATCCTCTCCTCCTCGTCCTCCTCCTCCTCCTCCTCCTCCTCCTCCTCCTCCCCCCTCTTCCTCATCCTCCTCATTCTCCTCCACGCTGCTTCCCCTTTCAACGGGGCGCCTTGCTCCACTGCCGCGTCGCCCGCGCTCTCCACTGCCGCGGGCGCCTACTGGTGCGGAGGATGAAGGGCTGCTCGGAACGTGTGCTTTGGGGGTTTGATGGGTGGAGGGGGGGGTGAATGCAGATGGGGGGGGAAGGGGAAACGCCTGGGCAAAGTGGGGTGGCGGCGCTTCGCCATCCCCCCTTCTCGTTCCTCGTCCTTCCTCCTCTCCTCGTCCTCTTCGCGCCTCCTCATCCCTCGTTCGCTTTCCTAACCCCCCGCCGCCCGCCGCTACTCAGGAGGAGCGGCGGTTGGTGTAGGCGAACGGTGGGAGATTGGGAGGAACGGAGAGGGGGGAAACGGGCGAAGGAAGCGGATCGGGAGGAGGTGGTGGAATGAAACGCCCGTGGACAAGGAGGACGGCCGAGAGGCGGTACAAAAAGGGGGTACAGATAACACACGCCACCGAAACCGTAAGCCCCAGCCCACGCCCCAGGCCTCCTGGCAGACAGCTCTTGTCTCGGGAGGTGCGGGGTGGGGTGGGGCGGGGTGGGTTCGGTGGGTGGGTGGGTGGAGTGGGATGGGGGGTGGGTAGGGGGTGCTGTGGGGGGGTGGGGGGGGAGGGGGAGTGCAAGGCCCCCTACTCAGGTTTTCCTGCCCTGCCCGCTCGGCCTGGCTAAACAGGGGCCTGCATCATACGGGATCGGGGGATGCTATCGCAGAAAGGGGCCCGCACCTGACGCGGCGGGATGGCGACAGCGAGTGCCGTCCCAGCACGTCGTCGCCATCGCCGTCGTCGCCGTCGTTGTCGCCCCGTCCCCGCCTCCCGTCTGCATCGTATCCCCTTGCCTCATCGCATCTGCAAAGGGCTTGGCCAACGCCGCAGCGCGGGAAGTGGGCGAGCGGGAAAGGGGGTGGAGGATCGACTTCTACCACCGCCTGCCCTGGCAAACCGCGCGTCATCCAGCAAGCTGGGCTCAGAGTGTCGTCTAAGCGCCTGTCCAGACAAAGCCCACCTCCCAAGGCGACGATCCGGGCAAAATCGGCCTTCCCCAGTCCTGCTTACCCGCCCCCCACCCCCATCAAACATGTGCTCCTGCTGCGGCCGTGGTGACAACAAGGGTCCCTCAACAGCTAGAGAAACCCATATGGGGTCCTTACATGTGCGCGCCTGCCGCACTACACGCCGTGATATTCAATGCGGACCCTGCACTATTGGTGCTTAGGGGGTTGTGGGGCTGAAGGTTAAAGGCCCTTCAGCTTCAGAATCGACGCCTGGATCTCGGGCCGTCCCGAAAGCTTCTGGCGGCACTCAGCCCAGAGCGATGCGACGCCGCTCTGGCAACTAAGTAAGGATCCCCCCCTCTGCTCCTCCCCAAAGTTCCACCCTTCTCGCGCCTCCCTGAATCCCCTGCTGCGCTAACTAAGCGGAGGACAAACATAACCGCGCTTAGTTGTGGCATTTAGGGGCCTTTGCCACGCGGGGATGGCCTCCCAAAAGGCCGGTCTCGTGTAACCTTCGGGGCATGGCCCGTCCAGACCGTCGCGCGGGCCATTGGGGCCAACGTGCGACTGGCGCGTACACGCCAGGGAGAAATATGGTGGCACAAGGGAAGAGGAGGAGGAGGAGGAGGAGGAGGAGGAGGAGAAGGAGGAGAAGGAGGAGGAGGAGGAGAGGAAGGGGAAGGAGGAAGGGGAGGAAGAGGAGGAGGACGAGGAGGAGGAAGACGAGGAGGGGGAGGAGGAGGAGGAGGAAGAAGATGAGGCTGGTAGCGAACAATTTGCATCTTCCGCGTTGTCCAGCCTCTATGCGCGATGTGGCAAGCCTGGTTCCCTGAGCGGGCCACGTCGTTTCCCCCCTTCCCTCTATCTCCGCTCCCCCCCCGTATGTGTATATATCTATAAACATATGTATACACATCCAGAAGGGAAGATAACAGAAACAAGCGTCCCCCCGTGGGCTTGGCCAGTGCCGCAACGCGAGAAGTAAAAGAGGGAAGGGGGCAGGAATCTATAAGTATACTTAATGGGAACTATTATGGGATAGCGGGAACACACAACACATATGCAATACGCAAGTTTGTTGAACTCACGTGACACTCGAATGTCCACGCATTGGATTGCACTCAGCTCGCTGAGTCTGATCTAGCTGGTCGTTCTTCGCCCTCCTCGACGCTTTCAGGCACACTCCTCGCATCGTGCAGTAGACATGTTTTTCTGGCGGGCGCGTCTTGGCCATCGGCTGAGGCTTGATGCTGCGATCAAGCGGCCAGTGCCAATGCTCGCCCGCGCCCTCAGAAAATTCAGATTCCATGGCCTGGTGTGACACCATGGTCCACCTCCTTCGTAGGCGAGCCGGTGTCGCACAGGCCATCGATCTTCGCCTCTGCCCGTTCGAACTTTGCACTGGTGTCTTGCCGGTATTGCTCGAGCCTGCGGACAATTCCGAAGATGCCGTCTGTGTCACGGGTGTGCCCAATGATGGTGTCCGCGACCGCGACCTCCATTTCTTTCGATCCCGCAATGACTTCAACGAACTCTGAGGCCGCCTCGAAGGGCTGCGGGCCTGGGGGTGCCGCGGCACGTCCTTCGTGCAGAGAAGCGTCGTAAAGACCCGCGAAACCTTCCGCCTTCTATGGGAACTGTCGGTGGGGCTTCCGCCGGCTGGAGACTCGCCCTGGGACGCCTCATCCGAGGCCTGGTCTGGATTGTCGTCCGCTGTTGAATCGAAGAACTCCGTGCAGGCGTTTGTCTGCATTATTTTGCACCTTCTTGGGGCCAAGCGGCGCGGCGGTCGATGATTTCAAGCGCTGAGCCCTGGTGTAGAAGGAGTGCCCCTGCTCAGTCCAGCACAGAACGTATCTCGAACGTCGCGTTCGAGATACGTTGGTCGGCGGCGTCCTTGGAAACGGTGCTGCTTGAGGCCCTTGGCAACCGCGTCCTCCCCGAGCGTGGCTCGACCCGACGGGAACCTGCTGCGCAGTGCTGCTTGGGCCCTGGGTGGGTACCGCCTGGACTGTGGGAAAGTGCTCCGCCTGTCCTGCCTCCTGGCTGGTCAGCTTCGCCATGAACGCGGAAACTTCCTCGACACTGCGCGCGTGGGCCCCCGCGTGGCCATGGCCCATGGCGTACAGCAGCGCCTGTGCGAGGCATCGGCTCACCACTTCCGTGCAGGAACCGACAGACAGTGTGCGGAAACTGGGAGAAAGCCGCTGGGCAGCGCCGCTTGAGCCACAATGTCTGCGGATCTCCCCCTCCCCCCTCCTCTTCCTCCTCCTCCTCCCCCTCCTCCTCCTCCTCCTCCTCCTCCTCCTCCTCCTCCTCCTCTGGTTTCATTATGTGGTTTCCTCCTGCTCCGCCTCCTCCCACTCCTGCGTCTGCTGCTGCTCCTTTCCCTCCTCACCGGCTCCGCCCGCCCCTTCTGCCTGCGCCCGCAACCGCTCGTGCCCCTGCTGCTCCCGCTCCTGCTCCCGGCTCCTCGCTCCTGCGCCCCGTCACTTGCCTCAATCGCTCTGCGCCGGGGTGTGGTTGTTTCCACACTCCCCGTGCTTTAAGGTGCGCACCGCCGCCACGAGTGCGACGGCGGCCTCGGCTACCGCAGTAGCCGGCTGTCGACGGGACTCCAGTTCGGTTGTCCGATCTCTCTCTCTCTCTCTCTCTCTCCCTCTCTCCTCTCCCGCTGCTGCTGCTCCTCCTGGCCCTGCGCGCTCTCGCTCTCGTCCTCGGCCAGCAGCTGGGCAGCCAGGCGAAGGCGGGTGACGAAAGCCCCCTCTATTGCGCGACGAGGCGGGTTCAAGAGGAGCACGGTTCGAAGAGGGGAGTGGGGAGGAGGCATTCGATGGAGAGCGCGACGAGGCGGGTTCAGGAGGACCACGGTTCGAAGAGGGGGGCATAGGGAAGGCATTCGATGGAGGGGAAAGGGGGAGGAGGGATGAGGGAGGCAGAGGGGGGGGGCTGCATGCGGGAGGAAGGAGGAAATGAGGAATGGAGTGGGGAGAGGGATAGGTGAGAAATGGAAGCAAAGGTGGGGATGAGGGCGGTGGGTGCGGTGAGGGGCAGGATGAGGACGAGGATGAACACGTGGATGCCAATGGACCGGAGGTGGCGACGAGGAGGGGGAGGAACACCAGCAGCAACAGCAGGACGGCGAAGATGGTGATGCCGCATGGGGGTGAAGCGAAGGGGGAAAGCGAGGATTCGGGCCGTTCCCTATGTCTATGTTTGGGTGGGGCATGTCCTCCTGCAGGCGGATTCTGAAAGAAACATGAAACACAATCCAGACATGCTCCAAACATACTCAGAAGAGCAAGGAAACTCGTAGAGAATTTCTTATGCACAACAGCTGCTTTGGTTGTTGCTCCTGCAGCGGGACGTGCCCGACGTGAACGCTCGGTCGGGGACCCCCTCCGTGGCCGAGCCTCGCCAGGGCCAGGCGAGCAGGAGCAGGAGCCACGGCGGCAGGAGGGCCGGCGCAGCCCACGTACCGTAGGGGTGCGTGGGCAAGGTTGGGCCGGGCATGTCCTCCTACAGGCGGGTTTTCGGGCGTTGCCAGAAGCACCCCTGGCCCAAGGTACCCCCAGGATTCTCGGGGTGGCCCAGACGGCCTCCAGGGCACCCCTCACGAGGCCCAGAGGGCTCCAGGGGCTCCAAAATGGACCGAAAAGTTGGGGGCACCTTGGGCCAGGGGCACTTCTAGCAACACCCGAGGTTTGGGGCGACAAATTCACAGAATACTGCAAGAACAAAGACGCCTTCCCCAGGAGGCCTCGAAGATGCGTCGTAGAGGCCCCTCAAGAAGCCCACGCCGTGCCTCCGAGCTGTTTCCAGACCACTTGCGTTTGAACAAGCGCGCTGGGGCGAAAGCGTCCTTCTGACAGCGGGATCGTCCCGGATCGGCGGCACTGGCCGGAGGCCTCTACCATAATAGGGCAAGAGCAAGTGGCCAAATAAAGACAAAACATCGTCCCCAGACTATCTCTACACTTTTTTGGGGCGCTCTTCCTGTAGAGGGACACATGTCCGACTTGACCGCGTCACGAGGATGCACGGGTAAGGATGCAAGGGGC